TATTTATACACCAACAGAAAGAGCTATGACATGCCATCTGCATTTTAGTAGAAAACATGTTATTGTTTACATGCAGAGAGCTGATTGGCTGAAAAAGCTGATCTAAACATACATGCATGTGGAAACTAGTGATAGACTCAAAATGTTACAGATAATTATTTGAGGTTTTAAAGTTAGGTACCTCCGCTTTAAGGATGGGCTTTTCTCAGTCATTTTACATGTAATGGTAAACATAATAAAAATAAAATACATGTATGTTCCTCTTTAATTGACGCCAGTGTACGGAGCAAACATGTTCTGAAATATGTTGTTAGGAATAAGAATAAAAAAACTGTTAGAAAAACAAACACGCTAAAAATTATAATATTCTACTTTCAAATTAATTCATGAAGTGTCTCGGGAGGATTTGTTTGTAACTGAGAATAGTTTCTGCTCGGGTTCTTAAAAGTAGTACATTGATGATGATTAAAACTAGTCTGGACAGGCACATTTCTTGAGCATTTTTGTTCAATTTAAACGCTGTTGAAAGATCTTTTATTCCATACATGTTTTATTATCTTATTTTTACGTTTTTCAACATTGAAGAATACATTGAAAGAAATGAATTGTTTTATAATTACAATGTATTGTCCAAAAGAGCATTCATAAATGATTGTTGTGGTATCAACATTTTCTAAATGTTCACATTTTTCTTGAGTTTGAATTTGAGTTTTGGTCCTCCTGGTTTGTGACAGATACAAACACCACAGCAGCAACATTCTTAAATAAACCAGTGTCTTTTCCAGTGGTTTTAAAGTTATTGTCTGAAACACTTTTGTCTTTGGTGAAGTGTCAGTGAGACGTGTGGAGACGGAAAACAGACAAACATGTGCAAAGTGAAAGCACACCTCTTTGGAAACCCCTCACAAACTCCTATTTTTCATTTTGTGTGTGTATGTGTGTTTGTGTGTGTGTTTGTGTGTATGTGTGTGTGCGTGTGTGTGTGTGTGTGTGTGTGTGTAAAGCGCTGTGTCTGCTGCAGCCCCTCATCGCTGCCCCTCCTCTGATCTCACTGCTGGGACCGTCCGTGCTCACACCCATTATTTGCATTTAAAACGTGCTCTTGACAGCGATCTGCCTGTGGAAAGTGCTGATTGCAATTATCTGTGCTCGACCTTCCCTCAGATTGCAGCCGTGTCAGAGGAGTAAAGGAGGAACAAAAGCCACACGACACAAGTGATGTTAAAATGAACATTTATAATGACTCTTTGTTGCCGTCGCAAAAATAATCTTTAAAAAACAATTCAATTATTAACACTGAAATGTTGACTTCACTGGTTGTCCACGAGTCATAAAACACAACTCACTGAATTTCTTTTACAAACACAGTACTACAGTTACATTAAATAGTCATTACCCTTAAATCTATTCATGAAGAATGGTCAAAGAAACCCAGAAGAAAAGAAACACAACTGACACTTGTAAAAGCCTCTCGTCCCCTCGCCATAGAAGCTGTTGTCTTATCAACAGTGTATCATCTAGAAAATAGAGTGCCTCCAGAAGTCCCTCGGAAAGAGCAGACCGAAAACAGACTGGCAGCATAACAATACGGCACATGTTATTGGGGGGAGTGGAACAGGGACAGACCCCTCCAGTGATAACTAACATCCACTTATGAAGGCTGGCTGCCTTTTGGCTCAGTATGGATTCATTTGGCACAATCTTTGACAAGTATTTGCCATAAAAAGCTTTCACACTTTAGTTTAAAATGGCACAAGAAAAGGCATTTTGATTTCAGTATTCAATCTCATACAACTCATAAATGCTGTCTGAGAAAGCCCTTGAGTAGTTGGACACTGGACTTTCACATTCTCTTGGTCTTAAATATCAAAGAGAAGACACCCAATCAACAAAACACGACTTTAGTTTGGATCGGTATATATTCGTCTTATGCTGTCAGTCCATTTTGAAAAGTGTAAATAAACTGTAACAATGACAATGATGGCAAGGCATGCTTTCTTGAGTGTACACTGAAGCAAGCGCCCAACCCTGCACAATAGTCCCGAAGAACAGAGCAACGAAAGGAACAGTCTGGCAGAGGTTGACATTAAAAGTCAAATCTGTATCACATACATGAGTTCTTGTAGATGGAGAAAGTCAACTAAGTTCATGGGAGGTTCAGAGAGTCATAGACAGGAAAAAAGAAAAGAGATGGCCTCATGTCTGGTTGGCAAGAATCCTTTTTTTTTTTTTTGTCATTTTCTTGTTTTGACTTTTTCCCCTCAGACGAAAGGGCTCAGGAATACCTCAATCTGTTTAAAGGGCAAACACAGCATTGAGGAAACAAACAGTGATGTCATGTAGGCTGAAAAAGTGACACTTGAGGTTAAGGAGCGAGCAGCCTCACCGGCTTAAAACCAGTCGTAGCCTTCGCCGTGGGCCACGTGAATATCCAGAAACCACTTTCAAATCAACTTGGAATGACGTATAGATTTTCTAAATATTTGGATGCAACAACAGGGGCTTGTACAAAAAGAAAAGGTTGTTCTCAAAAGGTGGCAGAAATCTGATTTTGCTGGTGCCGATTCCGTCTCATAATCTCTACTATAGTGAGACTTTGAATTGTTCATGTTTTTCCCAAATTTGGAGAAGAAAGTCTTTGTCTAAATTGTTAAAGAAATAAGAGTGGGATGCGTAAAGACATTAATATTTCCCTCGTTGTGAGAACACAAAGCTGGCCTGAAGGGAATGTGATTGAGAAGCGTTGAAGCGAGGGGGGACAGGTGCTACTCTTCCAGTGGACGTCTGAGACTCCGGCCCTTTCCGTCATTCATGAGACCGGCACAATCAGGGAAAAGTCACAACAGAACATCAGAGCAAAACAATAGGCAAACATTACAAAAAACAAAAAGAAAACATGTGTTCAAAGCCAACACGGTTCACTTCAGTTCACACCCAACGTGACCCACAGATCAGTAAAGTGCATTTATGCAACACCAAACAAACAAGATAATGTTGACAGCGTATCGGAAGAATAGTGTGGATAAAACATCTGGATGATGACTGTGGCCGAGAGAGGCCTATACCTGACTATAGCTGAAAATCTGTTATTGACATAGTTATTAACTACATGTAGCTTGACATTCTGCCCTGAATTTACATTAAATACCAACATTCGACAGAAATCATAGAAAAGAGAAGATGGGTACATTCATATACGTATTTGATCTGGGCTTTTGGAGCTGTGTGATCAAAAATAAAAGTATGTCAGGTTATGTGAGGTTCAACCTGTACTTCAACAAAAAGCATGTCTGATATATCCGCATAAAGAGCCAATGCACTGAGTAACATTTTCACGTTTGCTTGTTTTCACATTTGTAACACTCCTCACTGCACCTAGAAATCTAAATATTTCTCTGATGACATGTCCTATATGACGAGATGATGACAAATTGATTTCATATATATTTTCATAGTATATACTATATAAATGCGTGTCTTTTTTCGGGCCAACATGACAATAAATGAGCTCCCTCCCATCTCACGACGTCAACAAAACGTTATTAAAAACATGAGGCGAGTAAACTTAAGTGCTTTATATCTGACTGCATGCAGCGTTATGTCTTTGAATGTTTTTTTTTCTAACGAGAAAACTGCTCGCAAAATATCTGTCATATTTTTTCATTTTTTCCCCCATAATTCACTTGTTGATACCATGCAATAGAAGACGTGCAAAAAGATAACACCTAACTCCACAAACACATTTGATTGTTAATGGCTATGTTATGAATGCGTATAACATGTTATGCTTAGTCCATGCTGGCCTATAGAGACATTGTGAGAAAACAGCAGTACTTAAGCCACAGGTCAAACGAACACACAAGGGATGCATGGAGTGTAAAACAACATGAACCATAAAAATCACAATCAGTAACTCTTACTCTATGTACTTATGAGATAAACGATGCACAACAAGGTCTTTGTCCTGTTTTTTAACTGATTCTCTTTTCTTAACTTAAAAGACAGCGTTTGGTTGGCACTTGATCAGCACTTCTAACAGGTTATTGATAACTAACATTTGATCGCACATCTACAATTTCAGAAGCTGCGGAGGTCTAGTTTGGCACATAGTGTACTAGTCTACTGTATAGGACTCTATACACCTCGATTATGCTCCAGCCTCACGAGCATGTTCCTAATCAACAGACCAGACATCTTTTCAACTAAAATATTTTGTATAGTTTACTTATCAAATAGCAGCATTTTCATAACTTACAAAAAGTACATGTAAACCTATTCATTCAAAATCTTAGTAATTTCAAAGGTTTCATACAACAGACATAAAACACAAAACAGGACGACATGCTACTATATTGCTTCCAATATTCTTTACATTTTCTTACTGTCAAACTAAATCATCAATGACAGAAATATGGACACCACTGGCTGATGATGAGTCATCATAATGCACAAACAAATTTAGCGAAGCTAATCTTAATCAGGCTTTAGTTGGCACTCTCATCATCCACACAAAGATAACATAGTTCACATTGTATTGACACCGCTGGACTGCATTTGGACTACAAACTAGAATAGCTACAATAAAGTACATATAGATCATATGACGTGACATATTGTATTCCACAGAAATGAAGTCTAGTCATTTTCAGATAAGAGGATATGCATAAAGGATGTCATTGTTTCGGTTTGAGGTCACTAACAAGTTCCACTTCTCTCTCTGAATGCATCCTGTCCATACTATGCTTTGTTTATGTTTTGATTCAGTCTTTAGGAAAATAGCATACACTTCCCTAAGATGCCATAAGGACGTCTTTCCGAATCCTTTTTCTGGAGGGAATTTGATACTAACAAACATTGCTGGTAGGTCATGTGCGCATCACAGTATCGGAGGCAGGTGTTTTATTTTGAAAATAAAAAAATCCTTCTGTGCATTTTAGCCTGGTGAACTCTACGGCCCGGGCCAAACATTATGGTAACCCTTTTGACCTATAGTGCATAACTCCTGCTCCCAGCAGCACACCACTGACACACCGGCCATGAGAAGACGAGACAGGAGGAAGGAGAAGAGGGGGAGAGTGGGCACAGACAGACACATGCAGGGTAATACCATGTTGAGAGAAAGAGGAAAGCTTATGAGGAGCCAGGAGAGAGCAGATTTGGCACAATGTATTGATCAGAGAGCGTGGAGAAGGAGAGCTCCCTGCAGTCAAGCAGTCCAGTTGCATTGATAAACATCCCTTTGTTTTGTGCTTGTATCTTATTATTATTATTAACATTATTATTGTTATTAGAAGCTAAAATCCTGGGCAGTAAAAGGTTGAGTGATTTAACAAGTGGCCAGATTATGAATGACTGAAGCCTACTGCACGTGTAGCGACAGGAAAGATTTCCATTTGGCTCGCTGTTGCATTTGCCATAGGTTATGTTCACACAAAGTTATCCAATAAACATGAATGATGACAATGACAGATTTCCAAAACGCAGGAGCAGTTTTGGGACATTTCTTGGACACTACTCAGCACCAACCCTCACAGCTGTGCTAAGGACGCTGATCATAGAGCTTGGGTTGATGACATACAATTGAAAAATGCCTTGTTTAGAAAACTTGAATCTGGACAGTGTGGTAAATAAATGTGGTGGGAGTAAATTTGAAAAATGCTCACTAATTGAAGTGCAGTGCATTGGTAAACAGAAACATCACAAGACGTCAGAAGAGAGTCTTCCATGTACGGTAGGTCTTGTGTTTTATGTGACATAGATGTGCACATTAAAAATACTCACATCCCAGCAGGGACAGACACCATTACATTTTGTGTCCTAATGTCTCACAGTGCAGTCTTTAGAGACCCAGTGTACTCCATGGATAGCAGCACAAAAGGAAGCCAAGGTAATCTTTGAGTGCTTGGAAATGCTCTATACAATTAGCCTCCCTGCATTTAACAAACATTTGCCCATAAAAAGACAACAAAGCCGCTGCATTTTAGCAATGTTTTATTCTTACCACCTGAAGTTAGTGAGCGTGCCGTGTTTGGGGATTGCCTGAATGGACTGCAGAGTAGAGTTGTTATTTAAGATGCAGATAGGGAAGGATGGCTCTTAGTCCAAGCCTTCTGTTCAAGTTCTCGCTCTTTTGAATACGTCTCCTGACTATTTGGTACCTTTAATGTAAAGGCCAAAGTTTCTTTGTTCACAGATATTGGTTCAAACAGCCGTTTTTATCAAAATGTTTATAATGCTGTATTCTCTTTGCAATCTGAACTGGTTAGACACTGCTTCAGGAGAAAGGTAGTTGAACTTGGGAGTCACTAGATTTTAAGGCAAAACAGTTGTTGACTAAAGTAAGATATAATCCAATTTATTTGTACCTTAAGTAGAAGAGGATTCTGAGTTAGATAAGCTAAAAGTGGATTGCTTTTAATCAAAAATACTGAAATCAATTGTGAGCTTCAAGTGAGAGGCTGAGTCAAATCCAATGAGCTACTTTTGCCTGAACCGCACTTCTCAAGGAGAATGGTGGCCAGAAAGATTCAGCGGTAAGAGGGATAACATCTAATTCTATAGCACCAATAAAGATTCCAAAACACCAGTTTTCTGTTCTATAGCTGTGATTGGAAATGCATTCATGTTTGAGAGTTTGTGCGTTTGTGGGAGTGCTATCATGTATGTTTATGTGGAGTATATTTATACATTCCTGTGTGTCTCCTCTATCCTCTCACACTGATTTTAAACCCCTGAACTACAACTAGGGAGTTCAGACTGGGCTTGAATTATAAATTTCTTTCACCGCAACACAATATTTGATCCCTGTAAATAAAAAATAGCGATATGCTAACATTGTTTTTACATTCAGATCAACCTGCTTTCACAGGTTTAAATAATCTATTTGTGTTTGAATGAGACCATGTCAATAATAAATAATGGATGCAAATATAAAATAGCATAATTTAGAAAAGTCAATCATGATATGATCCAGAATTGAAAACATATGGAATATATGGAATTGAACTCAGATTGCTCCCCACAGACTGAGGTGACCTCAGGTGCTTGTTGAAAAACCTCTCCGCTGTCTCCAATGCAGTGCATTGTACACAGAGAGCCAGGTCTGATAAACAGCTCGACCAGCTCAACTCACCGGGAGCTGAGGTTTAGAACCAAAAGCAAAACCCAAGTCAACAAAAGCAACAAAACAAGAAAAATCAAAGAGCTATGAGGTTTGGAGCGGGGTGAGGCTCTGCCGCCTCCCCCTAAATCTGCAGCTTGGCAGTGGACCAGTTCAGCTTACTCTGATCTCCATCGTCAAAAAGACTCGACACAAACTTTTAAAAAACAGCAGGACGTCAGTCCTAAAAGCACATTCACATATCACACACACTTATCTTGGTTGTCTCCCCCACCTCCTCCTTAGTGATTCTCTCATTTGATACTGAAATATTAAACAGATAGTTGGACGATTCTTTTTCTATTCATTGTGAACCTCTCGTTTTCCCTCTGTCTCTGTCTTCATCCTTTCCTTCACTCCTCCTCTGTAGCTTTAGCCCACCTTCTGTGGGTTTGTAGCGCGTACGCCCTGCTCGTACGTGATCCTCTGGCTGATCAGATACTGCGCTGCTTGTGTTGCCGCGGGCGACCCTGTAATGGTAACTTTACGGTTCCGAGTACCAGGAATGAATTCCCCTTTTTTGGAGATCTGAATACGAGCTCCTGTAAGCTCTTGGTACTCCACTAGTGTTTTCCCTCCTTTACCCAAAATTGCACCGACCAGATTCTCAGGAACAGCAATCTCTACCACGTCCTTGGCCCCGTCAGCGAGCTTCTCTGTGGCCAGCAGGGATGAGGCCATCAGTGGTGATGAGGCGTTGAGATACCCATTGGAAGCCCCAGTAGCAGCAGCAAGAGAGCCCAGGGAGAAGCCCCCAAGACCTGTGGCGTGGTGGCCTGCACTGCTGGACGCGTCACTAGCATAGGAAGCTAACAGATTAGCTGCTGCAGCAGCTGCAGGGTTAGCGCTGGCTGCTACCGCTGCCAGGACGCCTGAGGCAGCTGCAGGGTTGAGGCCGAGGCCCAGGGTGTTGGTGTTGTAGCCATAGCTGGCCAGGGTGTTGAGGGCAGATGTGATGGCCAGGAGGTCATTACCAGAAAAACTGGACATAGCGGCAGGGAAGGCGCCCATCCCGGTCAAACCGGCCTGGCCCAGGAGACTGGAGGCAGTGGCGGCTGCCGCAGCAGCATTGGGCAGGACCTCGGCCGTGTTGGCGTAGGGGGAGCCTGTGGGGTTGGAGTTTGCCACGGGACCGGATACATTAGAGTAGCTGATGTTGAGGCAGCTGCTGCTCTGTGGGTCTTCTTGGATCTTCTGTACAATGATTTCAACAGCTTTGCGGTTCTGCTCAGGCTCTCCACTGATGGTCACCACTCGCTCCTGGAGGTTGATACCCTCTGGCTTCTGGGACAGCTGCACCCAGGCTCCTGACTGCTCCATCACTGCTTTGACCGTAGCCCCACCTTTGCCAATGATGAGGCCAGCAGTACTGTTGGGCACTATCAATTTAGCCTGTGGAAAAACACAAAGATTAAAATGGCACTAAATGCTAACAAGAGGAAGATTTAACTATATAAAAGGCTGACACAAAGAGACATATCTCTGACTGAGTCAGAACAGCCCCCCTTTACTCAGCGATTTGTTAATCCCAAGGGTTTAGACTGCAGCTGCCACAACGCTGTCGCCCTATAAAAGACTGCATGTATAAATAACCACATAACCTCACATTTTCCTGACCCTACCAGCCTGAGGGTCATGGCCTAAAGAACAAGAGCGACTGGCAACTCATAAACAAGGTGTGCTGAAAGAGCACTGATCCAGTGGGCACAGGCCACCCACACGTCTGCCCTGAGGTCAACTACTCCTCCTGCTCATTAGCATGGTGTGCAGATGAGGACCAAAGCTCACCTGTTTGACGCGATCAGGGTTGACTGTAGTTTGGGGCTGGAGTATACTGACGGGCTCAGGTTTCTGGGCACTCTGGGGCATCTCCCGCACTTTCTCTGCGATGAAGTTGTGAACGCCATTGAGGGCTTCGACCGTGCCCTGGATCAGACAGACTCGTTCTGTTGTTCCTGTGAGAAAAGATAGGCGAGGTTACTGTGGTGTGCTTGGACAATGGAACAAAAATCCACAATTAACATGAAGACATTCTTGCCATGAAAAATGCTTCTTGGCATTTTGAAAAGAGACCCAATTACAGAGCTATTCTTTGTCTTCTCCATTTACACAATCAACACAGAAACAGCTGAAAGAAAGCGCTCAGCTTGGATAGTGAGCCACAGGGGGGACAAGGATTCCTCCTCAATGATGTAACTCTTTCAGTGCTGTAGTTCAGTGGCGCTCGTGCCTGCAGCTCTATTAAACTACACACACATTTGTTTCTCCTGCAGGCGCCTTTATGTACCAGCTCCGTCAGCGCAGCCAGCATTCCGTTGCCATGGCAAAGAAGCCCAAGCCATTACAAAGGCTGTACACACTTTTAAAAAGTAAATTTTCTGAATTTTTTGTCTGTAGCAAATTGGCATGTTCTATAACAACCGAATGTGAAGTAGTGTTACAAAATGTTACAAACCAAGAAAAGTTATGTGTTTGTTATTATTGCATTTTCTGTATTTGAACTGTTTGATTCTCTAATCTGTGTTGGCCAATCTACAACTTTGCAAAGTCCTCCAAGACAAATGCTGTAGTGAATTAGGGCTATACACAAATATAATGAAAATAATTGAATTGCAAATGAAATATCTTGATCTAAAAGTGAATTCAAGCCATAAGTCACAGACATGAGTTAAAATGGTTAAAAAGAACTATGAGTCTAGATTGGATTTAGATCAGCGTTAAATCTGACAGAGAAATTAGTCTTGGACCAACAATGAGCACAAAGACAAGAACATGACAAAAACAGACATTGGGCAAAAGTGAACTTTTGAGGAAGATGCTGGGACTGCTCCTGCTCAGCATGAGTGAAACAGATCAGCTGACCAGGTGTGAGCGCGTCCTGTTGCTGGAAATCATTATGTATTTATTATCGGTGAATGCAAACTTTTTAAACTGCGAATCACTGCTTTATAGACGAATAAATGGTCATAAAATATGTTGATAATCAGCTACTGGAGGTGCCACGTTCCTTTAGTTTAAATATTTTTTATTTTGATTTATTCTTAAAGACGTAAACTATGTGGTGTGTATGTAGTGTTTTGGTTGTCAAGACGATGATTCAAACCAAAGGCAGAATGAGCCTTACATGAGCCTCTCACTGGGTTGCAAAATCTAATTATTAAATTGAATCAGTCTTCACACATGTGAAAACTGGAAACCAAGTTTAGTAGTGAATGATATTCAAAAAGTGACAGAGCACGGAGGCGACAGGGACTTCCTTTAAGTATGAGATCATGAGTCTATTTTAACAAACCACATCACCATACAAAGTGTAAAAACATTCAGTACAGTAAAGTCAACTACACTCCTCCAGTCACAATGTGTGACTGGGTCGCTGCTGATAAATCTGTGCAACAGACTCTCTAGATTTGTAACACATTTATTTAAGAAAAATAAAAATCAATTGTGGAATTTTGTATTTATTATTTTTGACCGTTATTGACAGTCTTGCTGAGATTAAGAATCCAGAGAGGAGGAGCCTATTGAACATGTTTTAGTGGTAAGTATTCTTAATCTGGTATAAGGGAAACCAGAGCATCAGGAAGAAACTGAAAAACTTGGTGTTGACTGTGGAACCTCGGACATACTGTCTGAGAAGTGAGGGCTAACCACTCAGCCCAACTTTTTACCGGCCCTGATCTGCTGACACAGGCCTGGGGCGCCTCTGTTCCTCCCTCAGTTTTTTAGGAGTCTGCGGTAAAAGTGAAAGGGCACCTGCCCTTACATTTTCATAATGTCATCGACATTAGGGTAATTCATCATTTACGCCACATTTTACAGTTGGCTAATTTTACTGACAGTTGTGAAAATAAATCAAAGGTGAATCCAAGTGAAAGACAAACAAACAGGCTGTAAAAGGCATGTCTTCGAGCTCAGAGACACAGTTGGCACCGGGCGCTGTCAGAGGAGCCCGGCTGCCGCTCATTCTTCGAGTGACAAAGTGACAGACAGAAGTGTGCAGTTGACCTGCTCTGGACTTCCATATCACCACACACATCAATCTGAGGGACCAGAGCAGAGGAGATAAACGACTGCCGTTTTAAAACCTCGTAAATATTTCATTACAATCAGTGAATACTCCACAGACTATGATATGCCACGAATATGTCCCTCGTAGTTTGTCAGAATGCAATGACGCTGGTGTGTAATCCTTCTGTCATTTACATGTCAAATTCACCAGATGATTGTTGCACTTATCATTGCATCACGTACAATTGAGTTGGAACCATGCATTTTGCTCATAGTTAGTTCCTCATCCAAAGTCAACTTGCAGGCAGAAAAGTAAAGAGCTCTTCAAAGCTGCTCTGAATGCTTCATTTTAATTCACCAACCTATTCACTTCTGGAAATGCTTGCATCAGGCTTTTGCCTTTCTGTCTGTCTTTGTAGATGAAGAATTTCATAATAAATGCTGTGGGCCTTCGAGAGGAGTGGAAGGGAGCTTGTCTTGGCGATGCAGAGGAGTAAAGAAATGTGTCAGAGCTGCAGAGAGCACACATCTCTGTCCCCAGAGACCAATAAGTCTCAGGTTAGTGCTGCGCCTTCCATCTTGTTCCACAGGAACAAAGTTTCACCAGCATCATCTAGTTATACCAGCTCCTCCAGAGGAGACGATCTGTTCCAGCTGCTTTCTGCTCGTGGGGATGGCAGGGTTTCGCTTATATTACACCATTCCATTTTGTCCTTGCTAGAATCCAATGGTCTCTTAATTGAAGTTGATGCTTACTTCCAGAAGACCATTAGAGAAGCTATAAAACATGTTTCTAGTGTTGTGTGCAGCTACATGCTGTCAGTGGTACAGGCAGCTTCAGTGACAACCACAACCACCGGCTAAATGTGGCAAAACCAAAAACCTCAAAAACACTCATTCAAAAAAACACAAATAGAAATGTTGGGTGAAAAAGCTTGAGTAATAACACTGAGAAACACCAACATTATCAGCAGGTGAAGCACTAAAGTCTGTTGAACCGTTGCGTTTTCTGAATTACCCTGACGTAAACTATAAATGCACGTTTAAATAATACAATTCCCAGTGTGTGTGTGTGTGCGTGTGTGTGTGTGTGTGTGTGTGTGTGCGTGTGTGTTTCATCATAGAATTCTTCCTTTTTGAATAGTGTGTAAATCATGGTCAGTAAATCAGAGCTATTTAAACTTGGAGGATATTACATCACGGTCAGAGTACCAGGCTCCCACCAGAGCAGACTCTGACATAAAACAACACATTTCTGGCTTCTTGACTGAGGAAAACAAAACAGAAAAGTTGCATAGCTGTTTGCAATAAGACGCTGTACCTGTGTTCTTACTAAAACATGGAAAGTCTAACCTGGCAACGCATTCAAGTTAAACAGATTTCACTACATGGCTGCAAACTAAGATAATATTTGTGTGATGACGGCTTGAGAATTGTACAAATAAAATGTCACTAAATTGTTGCCAAAAACCAAACAGCCAGAGGGAAGTGAGCTCTCACTTGATACTGTTGACTAATTGCTGTGACGATCCGGAGCCCGGGCATAAAGCTGTGCAATCATTTCTTCGAGTTTACTTTGGCTGTTTACAACCGTCTCACTGCCACCAGGGATAAGATCACATCAAACATAGAGAGCACATAGTTTTAAATGCTTCACTACATTCCATCGTACAATGTATAAGAATGACGATACTTTGTAAACTCCTTGTCCATGTTCTCTCTTCTTTAAAGCGGCCGTCATGTGTTTGAGACTCATGTTACATTTCTCATTACACTATACTACAGCCACAGTGCTGCACGACCTCCTCGTTCATGACACTATATACTGTATTTGAAAGCAACTGTAGAGCGTGATAGCAGCTATTTGGCACTTGGGCAGTAAAGAGGAGCAGCATGGATGAATATTAAGCTTCTCGTTTGGAACCACACTTCAGGAGCTGCTGATAAAAGGAGGTTTGTCCAAATCCAAGCCTTCACCAAGGGCAGTGTGTTTGTATTACACATATACTATTTGGATATGTATATTTACAATACTGTTGAGGAAGGGCCTCCTTGTTTTTGCTTTACTTGAATGTTTGGGACCGGCACAAATTTGCTCTGGCTCCATATTCTTTAAATGAACATAATTTTATTTTGCTCATGATAAAGCCCCACATTAATCAATAGGAAATCTAAAAAAATTAATTATGGTTATTACTTTTTAATGATCCATGGTTCTTGGTAATAAAAGCTTTGCATAGATATAATCCTCATTAAATATTAAATCAATATAATAGAATATACTAAACACAATATATCAACTTCCTCACTGTCCATGAAACATCCACATCATTTTATTCTTAATTGTAAAATGTCCCTCATGGAACGTCAGGACGCAGCACTTCCTCTGCAATGGCACAAAGACCCAGTGATAACATTTCGGAGGTGATCCAGACCAGTGTGTGGACGCAGGATTATTTAAGACATATTCTGCTGCACGGCCCCTCTGTCTCGTGCCGAGGACACGGCCCTCTCTTTAGAAAGCAGCCTGAGCTTTTCTGGAGAATAAATGGTGCTGGATTCGGACCTCCTGGCTCTGTACTGTATACAGTGAAGTCTCTGTGCTTTAGGTATTCAGAGTTTGAATATTGTGTCTGAACATTGTAAAGCGCTTTGGGTGACCCTGGTCTGTCAAATGCGCTATATAAATAAACATTACTTGAACATAGAAGCATCATCTTCGGAGCAGAAGGGGACTGAACTAAAGGTGAACCGAAAAACAAGCCATTTCTCCACAAACACATAATTAAGATCACCGATATTTTTGCCACATGCTTTTTACCGCCTTAAAGACGTATAGGAGGATTCTCTACTTCCGGGTGCATCATCAAGACTGTTGGTCCTCCCAATCGTCGATCAATCTGGTGATACGTGCTCATCTTTATACCTTTAAGTCAATAAGGAAAAG